GGGACGATCCACTGCGTATAGAATTGAAAACTTGCAGTTTTTGGGCGGTTTTTCTTGTCTTTTGTATATATAGTCCAAATTAGACTGCCACCCAATCTTTTTGTCATTTGATCTTCGTGCCTTTTGAGAGAATAGTCAAGGAGAGAGTGTAAGTGTGCATTCAAAGGAGGATTCCTACTAGTGGAGCGTGAAGGATTCACTTGGAGTTTAAAGGTAAGAATCTCTACTTGTGAATTGGGATTACTTCACTCTTTTCTTTCTTCCTGCTAGATTCTTGTGAGAAGATCTATCAAGGAGATTCGGTTCTCTACCGACACTAGGAGAGTATGAAAGGATGAAGGATTCGCTGCTTACACCTGAAAAGTGTGAACAGCCGAAGGATTCTCTGCCCACACTAGGAGAGCGGAAAGGACGAAGGGTTCTCTGCCCACAATAGGAGAGTGTGACAGGACGAAGGGTTCTCTGCCCACACTAGGAGAGTGTGAAAGGACGAAGGGTTCTCTGCCCACATTGGGAGAGTATGAAAGGACGAAGGATTCTCTGCCCATACTAGGAGAGTGTGAAAGGACGATGGGTTCTCTGCCCACACTAGGAGAGTGTGAAAGGACGGACAGTTCTCTGCCAACACTAGGGATTGTGGAAAAGGTCGACGGTTCTCTGTCGTACCGGGTAGTGGTGAAAAGAGTGTTTTGTAAAGGCTTCTCCGCCTTGCTGTGGGTGCAAAAGGAGAGTCACTATTGGTATTAGTGCAATACTCAGAGGGTGCCTCTGGGGAGTGGATATAGATCTGGTTTAGACGGAACCACTATAAATCTGGTGTCATTTACTTTACTATTTTTATTTTTTCGCATTTTATTTTTGTTTTAAAAACTCTGTGGTTGAAAAACATTTTCTATAAAAACTTAATAAAAATTTTCATTTCGGTTCAACACATTTTCAAAGAGGGGTTAAATTTTTAAAATACCAATTCACCCCCCTCTTGATAGCCTTGGGACATTAACTTAGGTCTAACAACCTATTTACTATACTCAACACACTTTACTTATGAAAATAAGTTCTGATACCACTTGAAAGTTTGTGTAGGTTATTAAACCTAATAGAATTATCTCAAGGTTAACCAAGAGGGGTGAATTGGTAATTTAAAATTTTTCTTAGATTCTTGAAAACCTTTTTAGAAATTTAAATAAATTATCCTCTAATATGTGGTTTCTTAACAAAATAATTATCACAGAATCTTTCAACCATAAAGATTTAAATACAAAAAATAAAATTGCGAAAAAATAAATAACATAAGAAGAACACTATATTTTATAGTAGTTTGGTCAAAATCGATCTACATCCACTCCGTAGAGATTCATTCTCCAGGTATTGCACTAAATAATAGTGACTCTCCTTTTGTTCCCACAACAAGGTAGAGAAACCCTTACAAACTCTCTTCCACCAACCCGGTGCTACAAAGAACCGACCCCTTTTATACTCTATAAGTGATGGCAGCATACCGTCGCGTCCTTTTTCACCCTCCTAGTGAAGGCAAAGTACCATCATCCTTTTTCACCCTCCTGGTGAAGGTAGAGAACATTGACACAATATTATTAATCTTCTCTAAAAAAACCTCCAGATGAGATGGGCAAAAACTTGAAGAAGAAAGAAGCGATTCTCACTTTGGGCAACCTTGTGAATCCCTTACAATAAATTCCCTTCACTTGATCTCTCACACTTTACTCTTATAATCTCTCCCATACACTCACACTCAATGGCCACTCTTAAGATAAATTCATAGCAAAGGTTCTTAATTCAGTTTCTAAGACTCTTTATATAGGCAAGATATGAAAAATCATCTAAAAATTGAAAACATTCAAGTGAACCATCATCCAATCATACTATACAATCAATGATTATACGTTACAAACAATTTAAAAATTAAGGCTTTGTGTTGAACAAATTGGGACAAACATGGTTTCATACACTATTAGTCGTCTGTACGATCTGACTTCATACTATACGAAATGTTCAAAAAACAGACAAGTTCATCTAGTACGATACGATACAAAAGGAATTCCATACACTATTAGTCGTCTGTATGAATTAAGATCGTACTATATGAACTATTCAAAAATGAACAAGTTCGCCTAGTATGATATTATATGAAAGGAATTTCATACTATGTATGTCGTCTGTACAAGTTAAGATTGTACTATACGAATAGTACAAAAATTGAATGTGTTCGTTCGATACGATCTAGTATGAACCTATTTTCATACTCTATTAGTCATCTATATGATTTAAAATCATGCTATACGAACTATTCAAAAATGAAAAAGATTGTCTTGTACAAAATACATTTCGTACTCTATTAGTTGTCTGTATGACCTGACATCGTACTGTACGACTAGTCCAAATAATTCATGTCATAATTTGATTAATTATGTTTGGAGGAAAACTAAGTTAAATCATGCAGTATGATTAATTATCATATAGTATGATAAATATTAAAGTTTTAAGTTTTAACTATCTCTCTCCTCCTTTGTGTGTGTGTGCACGGTTACCCAATTACAATCACATTCGCTCAGACTCAAAAAAATAAAAATAGAGATATACAGACTCTATTGCATGAAATCCTATTCTACACTTTCTTGAAGTCTTCTGCAATTTAGAATATAATTTTTTTGAAATATTAGTACATATTAAAACAAGTAAATAAAAATATCTAAGATATGCTAGGAGAAAAAATAAAATATCAGCACAATAATTAGTTTTGTTATCATCAAAACCATAAGCTCAATCTTGATTCCTGGGTTGCAGCAAGTATCATGAAATTGCTAAATTCAAGAGCCAAAAAGATAAATTTTGTTTAAAAATAAAAAACCTTTTTGATGAATAGACAAATGATACTATTTTCGGGCAGGGAAAAAATTTAAAAGTTCTTTAATAGAATAAAAGTAGAAGGAGATGCTACAAAGGAGGGCATGTCGGTGGTGAGCTCACCTATAGGTAGGTTCGCACAGTAGAGGAGGAGTGTTAGGAGTGGGTACTACTAGGTTGCGCTACGGTGTGAATGGAATATGAAGGCAATATATAGTGCTATAAGATAATGAATATGAAGGTTTGCAAATCAAAAGGGTTGTCAAATCATTTTGTGTCACTAGATGTATGATTATAATTTAATTTAGGAAGAATTGTAAATATTATTTGCATTAATAGGATTGATTTTGTGAAGAATCATAAGTGGCATTTACAATATTAGTATCGGTATAGATTTGCATAAAGAGCACCGTAATAGTTTCTTATCTAGAAATGAAGTTGGATTTGATTAGTGGACTCGTGCTTTCTTCCATGAAAATAGATATAACTTGATAACTAGTGTTTCAAAAGGCTTCATCAAGGCCATCAAAATTGCATGCTCCTATCCAATGACAACCTTATTGAATTTTTTGATACACAAAATACATAAATGTTTCATTGAAAGACGCACTATTGCAATAAATACAAAAACTATCTTAGCAAATGAAACTTAAGAAGCATTAAGGAAGCACTTAATTAAGGATCAAAGCTTGATTATCTGCCTAAATAATCAATTTGAACTATATATCATAAATGATGACCCTTGGTTTATGAGAGAGGACATGTACATACAAAACATTTGATGTTATGGGCTTTCCCATGTGAACATGCACTAGCTACAACTCTTGAAGGGTTGTTAGCTACTGTAGCTAATGATAAAAGTTTTATTCAAGAAATATGACTAGTTTCTTATGTTGAAAATATACATCAAATAAAAAACGAGGACACATGAAAGGATCCAAATGAAATAACATGAGTTATCATGTTATCCCCATTGATGAAATCAGAGAGTGGTCATTCAAAGAATTAAAAAGTCCTTCAAATTGGGAGAAAGATGCAATGCAATTTGATTCAGATAATGTGGAGTTAGGACCAATTGAGTTACTTAAAAGACCAAGTTCTAACCACTGCATTCATAATACTTTATATTTACTATTTTGGCTATTATATGACCATTCATTTTTTTATTTACTATTTTGGTTATTATAAGAACATTCATTTGTTATGGGGTGCTTCATATGTTATAGCATTTATTTTACTCTCCTTTATGATGTGTCATTATCATTTGCTATAGCTTTTTATTATAAACTATTGTATGATATAGCTGTTTTGCTAGCTCGTTGTTGTGTTACAATCTTTTGTTTAGTACTTGCATAAAATAGGTGTATTTGCCGCCTATTATTGTAGTGATTGAAGCTTTATTCGAGAAATATTCAAATCTTATTAAAAAAATGTTCAAAATGCTTTTGACTCTCATTTGATCCATATTCAAATCATAGTTGATCAATGTTTGAACCATATTCAACATGGTTGTGAATACAGCTCAAACATTGTTAGAATACCCTTCAAATATTATTCGAGTAAGATTTTATTAAATATTAAACCATAAGATTCATGATTGGATATAAACCTTACTACTTTATGGCATGAACAACAACATTTATCAAATCTTGTTTGAAGCTTCTTCAAATATAATTTTTGTTATAAACTATTGTATTATAATTAGTGTGATAGCTCTCTATTGTATTGCTCGCTATTGTAGATGTGAGAACCTTATTCGAACAATATTTAAATATTTTTCAAATATTATTTGATCAATATTCAAATCATTATAAATTTATGTTCGAACAATATTCAACCTGATTTCAAATAATCTTTAAACATTATTCGAATAAGAATTAATTAGATGTTCAAATCATAAGATTCATAATGGCCATAAACCTTTGTGCAAATTAGTTTATTGGAATCAAAATCAATGTGGGTACTCCATAGTTCAAAAATAGATGTATTTTTGTCTAAAATAAAAAATTTTGATTTATTTAAATTCTTCAGTTTCATCTTTTAGGGCCTGTCCTTTAAGAGAAAGCGAGTCCACACGGTTAGCCCATCCGGCCCATCAAGGCGTGTATGGTCTATAAATGATATTCACTGAATTAGGGCTTCCATCCACTTAGCGTATTCCTCTTCGTCCGTTTCTTCTTCCTATCAGCGCCGCCCCATCTCTTGTTGCGATGAAGTTCAACCCTAGAGTTTCGAGCTCCCGTCGGAAGTGCCGGAAGGCGCACTTTACTGCTCCCTCTAGCGTCCGTCGGAAGCTGATGAGCGCTCCTCTGTCATCCGATCTTCGTGGGAAGTACAGCGTTAGGTCAATGCCCGTGAGGAAGGACGACGAGGTGCAGGTGGTGCGCGGGACATACAAGGGCCGAGAGGGAAAGATCGTTCAAGTCTACCGCAAGAAATGGGTTATTCATATCGAGCGCATCACACGTGAGAAGGTTAATGGATCAACAGTCAACGTTGGCATCGACCCCTCTAAGGTCGTCATCACCAAGCTTAAGCTCGACAAGGACCGAAAGTCTCTCCTCGACCGCAAGGCTCGCGGCCGCGCTGCTGACAAGGCCAAAGGAAAGTTTTCGGCTGAAGAGGTGGCGGCTGGCGCTGCTCCATCTCTCCAGGAAATCGATTGATTTGCTTGATTAGAAGGAATTCCTATCTCGGGGTGATCTCCCATTTTAGTTTCTGTCGTTGATAAGGTTTTGGGATAGTTAAAAAATTGTGCCCTTTGTTTACATTCGGTTGTTGAGTAAGTTTCTGTAGTTTAAGTGTTTCTTTTTCTGATGGAGTTTGATGATATATTAGCGGATCTGAACTCGTCTATTTATGTTGTTTTCATTAAATTGCCAGCCTTTTGGTATTTTTATTGCTAGTTTATTTTTCGTATCATAATCTTGGGATATTGAAATATGCTTGTTTAGAGTATTAGGGTTCTATTGTTCTTTTTGGCTTTAGATCTATGCATTCTGCTGTAATTGGTGTTTTTGTTTGAAACTGTGTCCTTTATAGTTACATGTTTGCATCATAAAGTCTGTCACTTTGTGATTGTAATGTTTTTAGTTACTCTTTGAACAAATTAAGATTAGTTGGAGCTTCATCTCAATGATTCCCTTATACTTCATTATGAATTCTTGTAATGGAGGTGAAGAATGCAGCGCTTGCTTCATAGGGTTTTTTTTTTCGTGTAATATCTTCATAACCGTAGGTAACTACTTGTTTACTGGTTAGGTGACCACCAACAATTAACTTGTAATGTGACATAGTTTCTGAAGGTTTATCATGCTTATTGCAACACTTGGGCTTATGCTAACATGTGAAATTAGTCTAGATAATTTTGAATATTTGTTATGTGGTAGTTTTTGTAGTTTCTATTTGGAATTTAAGCACCATGGAAATTAAATATTTATGATTTTTATGCTTTATGATTCAAATGTAGTGTGAAGCACGAAATTGGAAAAATTGAAGTCAGTTTGAATTATATTGTCTACAATGTCTATCCAATTTTTTGGGGTCACCTAGTTTTTAACAGCAACAACAATGGCAAGCCTTTATCCCACTATATGGGGTCGGCTATATGAATCCTTTTTTTCTTCATTGTGTCTTCTTATTAAGAGTCAAATTCTCATTCAATTCTAATAGAAAAGGTCATTTCTAGTGTTTTATAACCAAGTTTTTATAGGTTTACATCTACCCTTCTTAACGTAGGTCAAATCTAATACATCTACTCTCCTAATTGGGTCATTTGAGGCCGAAATTTTATATGACCAAACCATCTTAGGCAATTCTCTTTGATTTTATCTGCCGCTGAGGCTACTCAAAACTTTTCACGTATATATTCGTTTCACATTTTCTCTCTAGTGTAAGCCCACTCATCCGCCTAAGCATCCTCATATCTGCAACAATTAACTTAATTTTATGTTTCTCTTTTAATATCTAACATTCTACACCATAAAGCATTGCAGATTTCACCAACATTTTTTTTATTTTTTTCCTTTTAAGTTTGAGGGTTACTTTTCTATCACATAACAAGCCTAATGCCTCCACTTCAACCAATCCAACTTGAATTCTACTAATAATAGCCCCATCTATTTAACCATCATTGGGTCAACCCATTTTTGCTATAATAATTTATTTTGGTGTTTTATTGATTCATTTGCATTCCTCTTATATCAAAACCAATTTGATTTATTTATTACCTTCTTTTATTAAGTTTTACTCTAAATGTCTGTTTCATATTAATTATTTCTCAGTATATCATTGTATTACTTCACAACAATCTTAAAACATATGAGTCACACCCAATTTGAGTCGCCTATAATTATCATAATTTTAATCAAAGAAATTTTGAACATTCTTTACCCTTAATATTAATATTGAAATGTTTTTCTAAGCAGTCTTTGTTTTCTATCTTAAAGATTTTGTTAAAAAGATATATTAATTAAACTACTTAGATATCATGTCTATTCATCATTTCAAAACTTAAAATTTCTTTCTCAATCTTATTAAATTAGTTAGTTATCTTACCTCACTATTAATTACATTCTACCATCGAATTTTAATTTGTGCCTCTTAAAATATTTTGTATGACTAGCAACTTCTCACATTTGAAATTTCACTATCTTATCTGCCGTCAATCATTTCTTTTTAATAGTTATAAGAACTTCTACTTTATCATCATTGATTAACCTTTTTTTTGAAGCACCTAGTTTAATTATTACAAAAAGACTTTCTCTCCTTTTATGGTTGAAATTATTTCTAGTACATTGCATTTCGAATGCTTGTGTTTTGAAATCCTATTACTTGGAAGAAAAGGAAATGCAATGTAAAATTTCAATGTATGTAGAATACATCATATAGGTTATTTCAATACATTTGGAATTTTTGCTCCATTTGGGTGAATTCCAAATGGACAACTTGTGTGAAGTCAGGGGTGTCAGTATTTGACACGACTCAAAACCCTGACTTGAACCCGAGACAAAAATTTCGGGTTTGGGTTAACTCGAACCCAAAACGAGTGGGGTTCGGGTCTCGATTTTCTACCCATTTTGAATTCTAATTTGGGTTGATCCTGAAACTCGAAAATGACCTAAAACACTATAGTTCAACGTATTTATGAGATTTGGCCATGCTTCACAGCGAGCGAACTTCGTTGCTTCCTATCAAAATGTTGTAACTTCCGATCCGATCGGAAGGGAACGTTGTCCATGGAGCAAAGTCAAACAACAACAACGATGAGAAAGAGAAGATAAAAAAGCAAACCCTAGACGCCTCTAAGTGCATGAAAGTGAAGAAAGGGGGAAAGTTCCTTTCACAGCGAGCAAGCTCCCGTCGTTACTTCCGATCAAAATGTTGTAACTTTCGATAACGTCGTCGAAGGAGCGAAGTCGAACTGCAACGAAGGAGCCATAGAAGCAATTCGTGCAATCTCCACACCTGTGGAACAAAGCCGAACAATAACGACGAAAAAGAGAAGATAAAAAGCAAACCGTAGATGCACACAAAACGAAGAAATTTACTTCACAGCGAGTGAACTCCCATCGTTTTTCTTCCAGTCAAAATATGTGGTTGGGTTTAGGCCTGAAAAACTAACCCATTTACAAAAAGGGGTCGGGTTTGGGTCGGGTCAAACAGTCCTGGGTCAATTTCGGGTTGGACCCGAACCCAATCTGTGACCAGATTTTGACAGCCCTATGTGAAGTGATGTCAGTCACACTCACTACCCACTGTTGTTGTTCTTCGACCACCTACACTATCGCCCTTTGCCAGCCATCATTGGTCGCCACCAGAAGTTGTCAGCTATTACTTCCTACAACTACAGGCCACCTCAACCACCATTGGCCACCTTCGAACAATTATTTTTCAAATACACTGCAATTTTACTTTGCATTTCTTCACCTTTCAAATAAAAAAAAATTGTACTTTTACACTTGTGTATTCAATCAAGCAATTCAAAAGTATTTTCAATAAATTAAATTTACTTAACACTGAATTTTTTTTATTCTAGCTGAACAAACTAAACCCTTGTCAAAAGGTCTTTGGATTTTCTATTAAAGTTTTTTTTTTATTTCTAGTAATGTGTTTGCGATGCTACAATGTAATCATTAGCTTTTCCCCTTATATTTCTAGCACATATTCGATACCTAGCATGAATTTGCTCATAGCCTATCCTTCTTGAATTTCTATGCTTATTTAAGCCATCAATAATAATTCTTTATTCCTCGAGTTCAGTTCTGAAACATTGTATATAACATTGATATTTTACTTTATAGAAATCACTATCATTAATTTTATACTTAATAAATTTTTTTAAACTACTTATCCAGTACTTTTAATTCTATTTCTATCGTTAATCCTTTCATATTGTAGACTATCTTTCAAATAGGGGTTGTGTCAATATTTGACACAACCCAAAAACTTGACTCAGATCAGAACAAAAATTCTAGGTTTGGATCAAGCCATTTGAAAAATGGGTCAGGTTCGGGTTTCAAATCCTGATGTGATTGCAAATTTCCATCGGGTTTGAGTCAACTCGTAAACCCAAAATCAACTCGCCAACCCGTGCACTACTTTTGTTGTGGCTACTGCCCTGCACTAATTTCCACATCCACAGACGCTTGCCTGCACGTTGAACACACTCACTCATACTCTACAGGCTCCTCTGCGCCCGCTCGCCCATGCCCACTTGCACACTCGCGGCTCACTTGTTGCGCTTGCAGTTACCCTCGCCCATATCAGCGGGTTGACCCGGATTTGAATCGGGTCCGGTTCAGGTCTAGTTCTATGATCTATTTTCCTAATCGAGTTGGTTTGGGCCGAGACAATTGATGATGGGTCATTTTCGGGTTGGATACAAAGTTGACCTTAAAACATATTTTGACACCCCTACTTTTAAACATATGATATTATTATTTGTTTCCTTGTTTGAAATTGTGCGCCTTGAGTGCGCCTCAGTTCAATTTGGTCCTTCTATGAGTCAAGGCGGATGCGTTGAACATGATATGCTAGGCATACACCTCAAATAAACAGAGAGTGCGCCTCTTAAAAAGTTGATCTGAAAAATAAAAACCTAAACCTAATATCTATATTTTTAATTTCCTTCATTCTATTTGACTTCGCCTACCTTGCACTTCGAACTTCGGCTGCCATCGTGATCTTCGACTTTGCATGTGTGCGTTCATGCTCATCGACTTCGCCTGGACTTCGACTGCCTTCTTCTCTTCGTGTTCCTCCTCTTCGACTTCGCCTAAGCACTGCAGGTTAGGTTTATGATGTGTTTTTTAAGCTTCATTGCCTTCTTTGATGACGTTCTAGAACCTTCATATTCTTCTTCTTTAAACTTTCATAGGTGGAGTCGCAGGTCGAGAGTCCGTGCCCTATTGGATTGGATCGAAAGTCCGGAAGGTTTAGGGCTCTCTGCAGCAATTTCTCCCATTTTTCGTCGTTTGAGTATGTCGATATTCACCCACTTTGTTGAGAGATTTTTCATTTCATTCTCTTGTCCGTCCTTTAATTATGGAAGTTTTAGGAGTAAATTTTTGTTATTTTTGATGAATTGATCTAGCTTTTTTATGTTTTATATATATGGCAATTTATTTTTTTATATTACTTCTAATATATTATTAGATTAGCATTCAAAAAAATTATCATTTTGATTTTATGCAATTTTATCATTTTGAGGCTTACGCCTCGCCTCATGAATGAAAAACATCTCAATACCCAATTGCACAATTTTAAACATTGATTTGTTTAATTTTAATGTGTGATATTCTTTTTTTAGTTCCTTAAATAAATTAGAATTTACAAGTGATGAGGACATCGCTCAGAGATTCAGACACGTGTACCAGCGACGGAATCGTAGATCGACGGCTACAA